TAACTCCACAATTTATTAAGCTTACATGATTTAAAAATTAAATCTTATATAGTTAAGCATGTTAAGTTTATATTGGAACAAAAAAAAAATTTTTGACAGGGGGGTCTTGGAGATATATTTTGCTAGTCCATGACCCATATCGATATAGTTAAGCATGTTAAGTTTATATTGGAACAAAAAAAAAATTTTTGACAGGGGGGTCTCGGAGATATATTTTGCTAGTCCATGACCCATATGTATAATTATTGTACAATGAAATATGATTGGTTGTAATTACTTTCGTCAGTACAGTTTATCTTTTTTTTTTTTTTTTTGGTGCGTTAGCAGGTAATGGAACATAGTATATTATTACAACCAACCATTAACTTGCACCAACCCCGGGGGTTGCCATCTAGGAATAGACTCTACACAACCCTTTTGAGGGGGCATGCGTAGGTACCTAGACCTCTAGGTCCTATCAAATTTGGATAGAGGGATCACTTCAGCCCATAGAGTCGTCACTTCTATACTTTACCAAAGTTAAGTAGTCTACAATTTGCCTTACGCCCACATAGTGCATTATTGAACCGTTGATCTAATCTACTAATTACTGGTCAATCACTTCCTTAATTTATATACAATCTTATGATCATACATCAGTTTATCTATCAACCTTGTATAAGTGTATAGAAATATTGCTCGTTAAAATTACGCGTCAAAACGTCTTTGAAAAAACTACTTAAATGGAAATATTGGTTAAAATTACGCGTCAAAACATCTTTGAAAAAACTACTACTTGTAATTTTTCGAATATAAAGTTTTTCAAGAACCGACTTTTCTATAATAACTATCTTCTTTTATAATTCCATAATGTCTCGCCAAATTGCCAATACTAAAGTTTCAAAGACTTCAAGTTCCTTGGGTACAAATATGCGTCATGTTCCTGTTGAACATAAACGTCGGTTTATGATCAAAAAAATTGTATTAAACAATTTTAAATCGTATATTGGTCAAGTCGAGATTGGCCCATTTCACAAGGTATAATATATATTTTGACTTGTTGGAGATTTGTTGCGGCACGAGATTCTTTCTAA